CATACCTGTGGGATGAAGCTTCCTTCTTTGTGCAGGAGAATTATGGTCCCACACCTGGGCTTATATTCATTTGTGCTTGTCCCCATCACACAGCTGTTCAGATTAGCTGTTATACACTCTAGCCCGGGTGTCTCAAAGCCTCTGTCTCCAGCAGTTGGAGACCAGCAGCTGTGTAATCATATCTGCTAACGTATGGGATATAAAGAATCTGTTAAGTAAAACCAAACCGTGAGATCAGCACAAAGAAATCACTCCTGCTAAGATGTGATTAGGGATGCCCCACAACACCCAGCTGCAAGGAACAGGTGAACTCAGCAAACATTTTAAAGCCTGCAGCAGAATTAGCCCCTTGTGGGTGTTGTGTGATATGTTGAGGGGAATGAAAAGGGGGGGAATTAGGAGCCTGTGCAGGTGGAAGGAGGGTTCAGTTGCTATTGTTTGGAGTTGTAGCAGTAGGTTTCCTTTTTTTCCAGAGTGGGTTGGGTTTTTGGTTGTTGTTGTTGTTGCTTTCTTTTCCCCGTCCTAATTTTTGAAACACCTCCATTTTACAAGGTTCATGTATTTTCCAGCAAGGTACCACGGAGAAGATAATTAGCTAATTTACAATTAGCTACAACAGAATTTGTAATTGTTTCCCCTGTGGAAAGGGCTGCAATCATCATCACGGAGCTGTAGGACTGCTGTGAAAATGGCAATAGGAGTGTGCAGCCCAGGCCCCAGGAAATGCCCTGCTTTTAGCCTATTGATCCGCCTGATTAGCATGGATTGAGGGGAGTGTTGGGGCACTACGGCTCAATAGGGGAGCTGGTTTGAGCTTTCAGATTTGAGTTAAGAGCTCAATCCAAAATTTCGTAATGTTTGGGACACCTGCAGCTCACCCTTCTGCTCTATAGCTCCTCCCTTCTCTTTGGCCTGAGGAGGATACGTTGTCCATGATTGTCCAAAAAAACCCCAGGTTTATAGCTCTTTTTCACCACTGTGACTTTGGCAGATTCCAAGTCCCACTGCACAGACTTGGGGGTACTGGTGGATGAAAAGCTGGACATGAGCCAACAATGTGCATTCACAGCCCAGAAAGCCAACTGTATGCTGGGCTGCATCAAAAGAAGCGTGGCCAGCAGGTCGAGGGAGGTGATTCTGCCCCTCTGCTCTGCTCTGGTGAGACCTCACCTGGAGCCCTGCGTCCAGCTCTGGGGCCCTCAGCACAAGAAGGACATGGACCTGTTGGAGCAGGTCCACAGGAGGGCCACAAACATGATCAGAGGGATGGAACACCACTCCTATGAGGACAGGCTGAGAGAGTTGGGGTTGTTCAGCCTGAAGAAGGCTCTAGAGAGACCTTACTATGGCCTTTCGGTGCTTAAAGGGGGCTTATAAGAAAGATGGGGACAAACTTTTTAATAGGGCCTGTAATGATAAGACAAGGGGTAATGGTTTTAAAATAAAAGAGGGTAGATTCAGACTAGATATAAGGAAGAAATTTTTTACAATGAAGGTGGTGAAGCACTGGCACAGGTTGTCCAGAGAGGTAGTGGATGCCCCATCCCTGGAAACATTCAAGGTCAGATTGAACGAGGCTCTGAGCAACCTGATGTAGCTGAAGATGTCCTTGTTCACTGCTGGCGGTGGGGGGTGAACTGGATGACCTTTAAAGGTCCCTTCCAACACAAACCATTCTATGATTCTGTATGATTCTATGATGGACATCCTCAGTGCTGCTTCCTCTCCCCTCTCTGCTGAGGAGAGCAGCAAGGAAGACCTGTTCTGCTTCTTGCATCCTCTCTGGCAGATGTGTCACTTGGTCCTACGCACTGGCATTTTCTTCTTACCCACACCTACACAGAAAACTTCTCTAGGCTGCTCGTTTGTTCTGTCATGGTGCCAAGGAAACAAGCTTAAAGGTCTTCCCAGTGCCTGGACGAAGGCACTGCAGCTGGTCCCTCACTGTGTGCAAGTAATGTTTGGGGAGGAGGGGAATAGCAGCAGGGACAAATAATTATTAGCTATATAAATAATGGAATTAATTAGCATCTGGTTTCTGAAACAAAGCCATACAGCAACCTGGTCCTGATGCTTAGAAAGCCAAAGGCATTGAGTAACATCAGAGAGCTGCTCTAGTGAATACAATGTGCATACAGAAGATGCTTGTTCACATACAGAAATATGCAAACACCAGTTTTGTTCTCGCACACAGAAGCACACACACTCTCCGTTTTTGGTGCCCTGGCAATGAACTCAGGATGAAATAGGGAGTCTCATAGGTTTTCGATTAAGAGGTTTTGTGGCTAGTAGTGATGTTCTGGTTTGCCCTCCTGATTAGCCTGGGCCACGAAGGTGATAGATCTGTCCCTCTTTATTTCGAATGCCTTGGATGTAACGTTCTAGATGGTAAAGCTGGCTTATGCTTTCCTGATACAACGATTCAACCTCTTTGTTTTGCATGAGGAATATGAGAACACAAGTGTATTTATATACTCTTATCTAAATGTACCCCCACGCACAAATGTACATTAGCAAGAGCTATCTGCATAAGCACAAACGTGTGTCATGTCTCTCTGCGAGTGACCCTAATTTTCCCCTAGTCCCTCCACAATTGCTGTGATTCTTGTTCTTGTCCTCTTGCTCCACAGAGGGTCAAACATCCTGCATCTCATTGTCCCTTCTGTCTCTTTAATTAGTGCCCGTCCTCCCCCTTCTCCCCCTCGCTCCCATGTCCCCCCTTCCCATCTTCTCTCAGCACTTGGTTTGCAACGCTCTATTATTTCACCTTTCACGCATGCCTCTTCCTTTGCCCAGGCCTGTCTGACACCTCTGCCTTACGCTTATCAAAGAAACATAACATTTAAATACAAATAGAACAGGGAATAATTTAACCCCTATTTGCACTGGGGAAGGTGCCGCGGCTTCATATAAACACAGATGGGGAGATTTATAGACGCTGTATAGTTATCTGACAAGTTACATTTCTTCAGCAGTGTGCCTTGCAGCCAGCTTTTCCTGATGGGCACAAGCTTCCACAGCTGGCAGAGTGGTCAAGAAGAGGGGAGCCTGGTTTCATGGAGATATTGGATATGTCACCAGGGGAACATCTCTGGGGACCCTGTTTTGCCATTGCTGTGGCCTTTCTCTCCCTACCCATCTTCCTGGGAGGAACGGAGAGTGCTGGTTCCTGTTGTTTGTTGATGGCAAAATGGGGTAGACTTCAGCTGAACTTAATTTTCAATATTATGGGAGAGCCTCAGGTCACTCATGGTGAGGGCTTCGTGATGCACCAGCAGAAACCTCCTCAGCTCTTCTGGACACCACAGCACAGAGAAATGTCCATCCATGGTTATTACCATGGGCCAAGCAGACATGATGGACTCAGGTTGTGGGGAAAGACTGATAATGGGGTGAACGTTGAGGAAAAACAAAAAAATGTGGAGAAGAGGCTTACATGGACACCACATTCAGCCCCCATGCTGCAGGGCAGTGTCATTGCTCAGACTGCTGATGTTAAGGACTGCTTCTACAGCGAGGCTAGTGAGATTTCTTCACTGACATGTAATATTTGGGCATGAGATAGAGACTGAAACTGTCACTTTGATGTGTGTAATAGACAGAAATTTGGACAGGCCCTTCCTGACAAAAGCAAAGGGGAGGTGCTCAGAAGTGCATCAATATTTGGTGCATGGCCATGTGTGGCCTGTGGCCTTGAGGAAGCTGCAAGAATAGGTTTTGATCACACCTGTCTTTAGACATACTAAGCAAGCTCACTGTCTTGATTTCCCTCATAGAGAGGAAATAGAGGCTGCTCCTCATGGCTGCACACCTTTGCTGTGTAAGACGGGATGGTACTGTGAGGTACCACTCCCTCTCCCATGGTCATGGGCCAGCTTAGGATGGGGTACTCAGTCATGCCCACAGCTCGTGTTGCAGGTATCCCAGGTCATGGGATTGTGCCCCGCCTTTTTTGTCCTTCTCTTCTGCCCCAGTGGACAGTGGTATTTCTGTTCTCCTTGACTGTGTGTTTCCTTTGCCCTGCAACCCAGGTCTTAGGGGGCCTGGTATGAAGGATTTTACCTCTCAGTCTCACAATCTGAAATGGGGCATTGAGCTTGGCAATGGAGGTGACAGGGGGCTGAGTCTGCCCACTGCTCTGAAATTCAGATGTGTGTCCTGAGACACACAGATTTGGAATAGTGTCTCACTAAAAGAGGAGGAAGCATGGGACTCAACGGGGCAGTATGGGTGGACCATGGGTGGTAGAGATGGACCCTACAGAGAGACAGATCTCAGGGACAGCTTGACCTGGGGACTGCTCCAGGTTTGCATGCAGCATAAACCTCTGGTTTCTGTAGGATGTAGAGTGGCCTGAGCAATGGTACAGCAAGGTACTGCCCTCCACTGTCATTTGAGGACACTGGAAATGTCTGGTGGGGAACACCTGTGGTGTGCACACATGCTCAGACACATCCCACTGACACCAATGCATCTTCTCTTTATTTTATTCTGGTAGTCTCATGGCCTTGTTCAGACATATTTACAAAGCAGAAGTAGTTGCCCCAGTGCATGGCATGTCAGCTTTTTGTCTGGGACTTGGAAGAGCAGTATGGGTGCACTCAGGGTGTAAGAAGCTCATACAAGCCCATTAGAGGATAAACTCATTAGCCAAGACCTGGGACATGCAGAACGGTCCCAGCTGCTGGACCCTTCCCTCTCTCTTCACACCTAAGATGTCCAAGGGACATTGTAAAAACACACTGCTGAGGTCCCTGGCAAGGCTGGGACAGGAAAGGTAAATGCAGCACTTTGTTAGAAGAACCTCTCAGAGAAAAAGCTTGCTAAACTGACTCATTTTTTATCAGTCAGGTGTGTGATTGTGTAGATTTCTGAGATGGCAGATGTGACAAATAATTCCCCTGACAACCCAAGTCACAGTCTTTCAGGAGGTAGACAGGGCACTGATTTGGAGACAGGGCTGGAGGTGATGTCCAGACAGCACAGAGCACTGGCTGGCCATGGTGGACCCCTTCACACCACCTCCCCTGGAGCAGCTGGACCAGCAGCCCCTGGGGAAGGAGGTCTTCACCCTTAGCAGGGCCTGTTCCTGGTGGCCTCATGGCCACCTTGTGGGCAGCTCACCAAAGCACTACATCATCAGCCAGCCAGCTCTGGGGACAGGCATCACCATTCCTAATGTCCTGCAGAGACACAGAAAAGGTGGCTAAAATAAAATAAAATAAAATATAAAATTAAGTGGTTCCTAAAACACTTGTTTTTGGCTTTGCATAAACTAAAGCAGACAAGGCAGTTTCAGGCCAGTTCCACACTAGAGAGTTTTGCTGACAGAGGAGGTATGTGAGGTTTTTTTTTTTTAATGATACATTTATATTAGCAAAAAGCCTGGTGAAAATACAGTTACACAGCTATAGGAGTGCTTTTGCTGATGCAGCTTATTTCAAACAGGGGAAACTGTATAAAGTAGAATATAACAGATGCTTCCTCTGTGCTGGAAGTATTTACTAGACACAAACTTTCTAGGCAAAGCCTAAGAAAAGGTATTCCCAGTTTGTTCCCACTGCTCTCTCCCCTTCCTAAAATATCTTCCATCTTCCACGACAGCTGGTCTCGTTCACTGGGTGGGTTTTACTCCAATAGCTAGACAACCATTGGAGTCTGGACTGGACTCTTTCTCCAAGGGTTTGGCTAGACCTAAACTGAAAGCTGCCCCACAGAGTGCACCCTCAGCTTCAGTAGCTGCCTCTCTAAGGTGTGTACCTCACCTCTGAGAGTCTCATTTGCAGGTCAGTTTGGCCATCAAGAAAACAAATCTTTCAGACGTCCAAAGCATCTTCTCTGGAAGTGGGGACAACCTACGGTGTTAGTTAGGGCTTTGTGTGTCATTAAAGCCTGAAATCTGTGTTGCCAGAAAAGACTTGGAAAAGTCCCTTTGTTTAATTAGTTCCAACATAAGTAAAGTATTTCTTGCATCTAACATATCTATTGGAAGGCTATGTCCATTTTTTCTCCACTACCAGAAATGCACATGTACCCTCCTAAACATATTTCTCCTACCATTTCAGCAGCCTAACTGAAGGCAACATAACTCCTTGTTTTCTATGGGCAGTACACTTTTCATTCATGTGGATAACCCCACTGCAGGACTGAAAGCTCCTAATATCCTCACTTGATATCCACTGTGTGAAAAATTATCCTCATCCAAGGCTATAAAGTAATTTTCTAATTTGCAGGTGCATCTTGGAGAGGGGAATTTTGATCAAACACAGGTTGAAGCAGAACAGATTGCCTACACCAATGATTTCTTGGTGAACAAAAGTGACATAAATCACCCAATTATTCAGCCAGAAGGGGGGGTTTGCAAAGCAATGTTTTGTTCAGCTTTAGGTTAATATGTACATTAAAAATAAATAAATAAATTTTTAAAATCAAACTATTTATTTACATATATTTATTCAAATTGGTTACATCTGCTCTGTAAACTGCTCTGAAAAAAACTCTTGGTTCACACATTTACATAGTGTTTAATGAATGATAAATAAGACATTTATGAATCATGTGCAAATGGCCTGTTTACATACACAATGTAAACTATGTAAATTTCATTTTTGTCTCCTTGGTGTAATGGTACTAGTCTCTGAACATAAACCTAATCTAGAGGCATCACTTGGTGCCCTCTGAGGTGTTCCTACCAACTCAGCAATCATTAGTTTGGTTGTTTTCACCAACATTTTCTGAATGTGTTTCATTCTGCACTGAAGATCTCCTTATTTGGTACAAATCCAAGTATAAATAGCCTTCCTCATTCAAAACACAATTAACTACTAGCCGACCACATCCTACTTTGACTTGAAATACTACCTACTTGAGCTATGTCAGATATTAGTAAACATGTAAGTTAATTTATGTTTCAAGAAACAATATATGTTTCAAAAACTTTGGGCTTATTTCAAATGAACTTTAAAAATATATTAACAAAACTCATCCAGACTTGTAGGTATGTGTCTGTGAGGGGGTATGAATGACAAATCTCCATTTACAGGCTGTGGCTTCTGTTATATCCTGGTTTAAAACAGTTTATGTTAAACATTTTTTCCCTGCAACTTGTTTAGTAATGCAATAACATGTTATTTTTAATTTGGACTTTATTTCTACATGCTATATTTATCCACATTCCTCTTGGATCACAGTCTGACCAATGCTGTCATTTCAGTTACTGCAATCCGACTACAAAAATTGATCAGAAAAGCTGATCTGGAAGACTTCAGTGGCTAGATTTTGAGAAGCAGTTAAAGATTTTATACATAATCAAAACCTTTTGGTTTGGGCTTTTTTTTTTTTTTTTTAAATTGTCAAATTATTTTCAAGTATTCATTGAAAGTCAGATGCTATTAAGGTTTTTTGAGGCAGCCACCTGAAATGACTAGCAGCTTCTGAAATATGTCACCTTAATGAAATCACCATTTATTTTGCATGTGATACTGAGTCTTCTTGACTTTCACATCCCTCCTGAAATATGGTAAGCATCTCTTTATTTTGTTCCAGAAGACAGAAAACTCTTTGTGGGCATGCTCAATAAGCAGCAGTCAGAAGATGACGTGCGCAGGCTATTCGAGGCATTTGGCAACATTGAGGAATGCACAATCCTTCGGGGACCTGATGGCAACAGCAAAGGTAAGGTTATGGCTTGCGGTACACTCTGGCTTTAGTGTCAAGCTAGACCTGGTCTCAGTGTATGTGTCATTTTCTGGTGTGACAAAGTCACTAGATAGCCTCCAGGACAGCATCTTATATTAGGAGGGGTCACATTTGCCAAGGAAGGCCATTTCTTTGCTGATCACTGCCTTCTTGTGCATGAGAGGAGAATGATGATTGCACTTAAAAATACATGCCTTGCAACAAGCTATGTCTGGTCGTGTGCAAATGGATACCTATTCCTGTTTGCTCACAGGGCAGAGCATCCCCTCTGAACACAGGGCCTTTATGATCACTCAAGATGTGCTCTCCCCACCCCATTGAACAGGTCAATTCTTTCTTTAAACAAAGCCAAGATTGTTGCTTTACACCTTGACTTACCAGCTCCACCACTGTCTCTGCTTTTTCTCATCCACCAGCCCCAGGTCTTCCCCCTTCTTCATATGGTCTTTGCATAGATACACACCGGCCACTGATCATAATTGCAAGGGTACAGGTGCTGATTTAAATATTACACTCAGTAGATATTTACTGTTTGAAACATGCAAATGTTTCTTTGCAAAGCTAGGTGCCTTACCTCCTTCTGACACTTTTTGGCGTCATTTGTTACCTAGATAGAATGAAGGATCCTTTTCTACAGCCCAGGTGTAAGAATGAAGCTTCTCTCTTGAATGTGAGGGCCATTTTTTTTCCCATCACTCTCTACATAAAGTAACTTCAATTTGAACAGGAAGCCTTCTTCTCTTGACAATATAATGTGTCCATTAAATATTGATCTGTGTATAATATATCATAAACTGTGCTGGAATGTACAGCACTAGGGAAGAGACCAGTCCTGCTGACGCAGTTCATATCTCACTGGATATTTTGACATGTGACAACATCAACCAGCATATTTTTGCAACAGAGAGGCAAAAAATCCAAATCACAGTGATACACTGGAGAAAGATATTGCTATTCCATAAAATCACTGGCAGCCAAAAAAGACTTCACACCAGCATTATAGGGCAGCTGTTTGATATAAGTCAGCAAAGCTCAGCCTTCCTGATATGAATGGCTGAAAATAAACTGTGGACACATTTCTTCAATTGTATGGCTACTTTAGTTTCATGACACCCAAAGACAGGGGCTGCCCCACTGGAAAGCTGTAGTCTAGGCTGGCCTAGAAGAGCTCCAACCATCATAATGGTGGGCAGTTAAGCACTCCATTCACTGAACAAATTAGTTCAACTGGGGAAAAACAAGAAAAATATGTCTGTCTGCCTCCACCTGGAATAGCACAGAACAAAAATCTAATGACAAAGGAGTTAGAGTAACAATAAAGGCAATAATGTCTGAGATCTGTAAGAAACAGGTTCCAAAGGAGATCCAACCCACAGACTCGTATTCATACTTGCCTTATCTGTTTTTTTTTTTCTTAAACAATTTCATTATAAGTCTGAATCTGAGTGGCAGCTCCATATTGCTAACCAGTTTAATTATTAGTGCTAGCAGGCTGCAGTCTCAGGCTTGTATTTCACTGAGCTGTTCAGGATCAATACTGAGCCTTGACAGTGTTAATATTACCAGCTTCCATTTGCTGGTGCTATTTCTGAGAATGTGAAGCTCCTAATTTACACACACACGGTTACATACATGCACACAGAGCAGTCAATCCAAAAGAAAACTTAAGGCTAGTGCCCTTATCTTAGGAGACAGTCAGGCAAGCCACAACTCCCACAAAGTTATTCCCAGTCTGTAATGTTTTCCATCTGCTAGAAACCAATATGTGACACACATTGCTTCTGAGCTACTTGTTTTGGGTAAAAACCCATAAGGCTTAAATTCCACCTAAACTGAGATTTAAGCAGATTATCTAAGAGGCAGGTAGCAATCAGATCCCATAGACTTCAATTCTATCCAACCCATTACCTGAAGCCCCACCAGGCATCCCTGTGGTGGTCCTCTAAGTCCTCCAGGTACTTCCATGCAAGCAATGCTCTCAGAAGGTTGGCCCCAGCTTCCCACTTTAATGCCACCACAGTCCAGTCACAGCCAGAAGCTGCTTCAACCTTGCCTGAAGCCATGGGTGATGCCCTGAGCCATGAGGCATGCCCTTCCTGGGGCTGCAGAAATACCTTCTGCATGAGTCACTCAAGAGTAGTCACTGTGGCTGGAGCATGCAAGCAGGTAGCAGAAGAGCTAGGACTGAGGCATTCCTCTGCCTGAAGGGGAATGCAGTGCCTGTCTCTCCTGGGAGAGGTGGAAGAGGAAGGAGTCTTCCTGCACCCCTCCGGGTGCAGCTCACCAATGTGCAGCCAGGAGTGCAGGACTCCTCAGCTGGAGTCCTCAGGTGAGAAAACCAAAGGGGATCCAGTTCAGCCAGCCAGCAGAATCCACAGGGTCTGCATTGCTGGTCTCTGGACAGCCTCTTTTTTTTTTTTTTCTCCTCTTTTTTTCCTCCATTCAGCTGTTGTCTACTTCAGTAACTCAGGAAGTAAAGATTTCCCATAGCACCAGAAGTTCCACAAGAGGAGTCTTAACACCCTCTGCAATTATAACCTTAGGCCCTGACTCCGCAGTCTCCTCCAAGCTGACAAGACAGAGCAGCCCTTTCAGCTCTGTAGTCTGGAAGTAAGGAAAGAAAAAACATTTGAACACATGTATCTCCCTGTTCAGCACAGGTTATATATCTCTGTGTCTCAAAATCCCTTCAAACTCCAGATCTGCTCCTGTCAAAGGGACATGATCATTCTGAAGAGGGTAGCACAACTCATGTCCTCAGCTCATGAGGCCCTGGAGCCTGTTCTGGTGAAAATGGGATGGAAGAAGATTATGTGCACAGTTGATGTTGTGTACAGAAGCCAACCCACAGAACACACAAACAAAAGGGCCAAAATATTGAGATCTCTGCTGTTGCCTTGCCACTGTACACCAGTGAAAGCTGCGTTTTCACTTGCCCCGCTACTTCAAAACCTACTGGAAGCAGCAGGAGGGATCCCATTAGCATCCTGGGCATTAAACAAGATAAATGCCTGCTGCTCCTTCCATTCCCACCTTATCCACTGATCCGTCAGGTTCCTCAGCACAGGGGTAAATTTCACCCGAAAAAAGCGAAGCCTTCAATGTGACAGCAACACTGCAGCCAAAAATCCTTCTCTAAATGCAATGGGTGACTGGAGCTGGAAAGCTTTTGTATATTTGCTAATCAGCATCTTCTTTTTAGAGACACAAAGTACAAAAGAATCTCTGCAAATAATTAAACACCCTAATTCTGGATTATCTCTGATTAATGAAGAGGAAGGCGCAGTATCTCAGGAGCCCGGGAACGCTGGGCTGCGATTATGTCATAATTGATCCCTATTGTTTCCAGCTGAAGTTTATCATCTCATTTTCTCATGATTGTCTCCTCTCAGCTCCTTACAAATTAGATCCAACTATTAGCAACAATTGTTGTGGTTTTCCTGAAATACAGTCTGAGCACAGTGCTGAGGGGGTAATGTAAAGTGAAGGACTTCTAACTGTAAGCTAATTTCAAATGTGTGTATTATTTTTAGAAGGGGCTATGCTGCTTTCTTCAATTTCACTTCTATCAGCCTGCAGTGATGATTTTGGGGACCTTTGGGACTCATTCTTCTAGTTTACAAGTGGGGTGTTCTAATGCTCCAGTTTTCACCCTTCACTGCGTGGATCTATAAGGGTGTGTGGATATTCTAAAGATTCTGCAAAGGGAACAAAAGAGATCTGTCCCATTGTCAGGACTGGCATCCCCTGTGCAGTGATCTGCACTC